AGCAGTTACAGACTGTCACTTGAACTGTATCTATCATGTTACAACTACATTGAACTTTTATAGTAGATTGAGAATTAGGGGAGGGGAGGGGAGAAAAGAAAAAGAAAGAGAAGAAGATAAAGAAGAAGAAGAAGAAGAAGAAGAAGAAGAAGAAGAAGAAGAAGAAGAAGAAGAAGAAGAAGAAGAAGAAGAAGAAGAAGAAGAAGAAGAAGAAAAAGAAGAAGAAGAAGAAAAAGAAGAAGAAGAAGAAGAAGAAGAAGAAGAAGAAGAAGAAGAAGAAGAAGAAGAAGAAGAAGAAGAAGAAGAAGAAGAAGAAGAAGAAGAAAAAGAAAATGAAGAAGAAGAAGAAGAAGAAACAGAAGAAGAAGAAGAATAAAGGAATAGGAGCAGAAAAAAAAAGGGGGGGGGGGAAGAGGAATAACGACGAAGAAGACATAAAATACTGAAGCAGATAATACGAACAATTACAAAATTAAATTTTTTTTTATTTTTTTTATTTCAGCTACTTGTTCTAGAAGAAACATTTTCTGTATACACAACTGACCACAGCTTTTTTTTCCTACCAAAAAAAAAAAAAAAATAATAATAAAACAATTGTTGTGGGTACTCGCCACAAGTGACGAAAACAAATGCCAGTACTTACCACAACGCTATGTGCTGATTCTGTGCATAGTTGTGTTGCGCCAGAAAGGGAGACAGAAAGCACTGCGTCTGACGCACAATGACAAACTGGCAGCAGGCATGTTTTAACTTAATAATGATATAATGCAACTGGGGTATGATCTTGAATATTTATCACTAGTAGATATAGCTTGTCTGTGTGACCTGGCAATTTCATATTTAACATTTGTTTGTAGACAAAACATACATAAAAATATTTATAAGAATCATAGTAGCTTTTGTGTGAATGCATAACATACCAATATGGTTTTAAAAAACACGCAGACATGTAAACACCTTAATACGCGGACCAAGTGGGAGTTTCGGGGGGAAAATATTTCATGGATAAAATAATATCATGAAAGAACACGAAAAAATGCATCTGGAAGACAATATGAGAAAAAGACAACACACACAACCCTTTTGAAAAGCTCTGCAGGGATTAAAAATCTCATGAAATAAATATATTCAAATGCCACTTCCCCGATGTGGATTCTGGGATCCCATTGTGGGGAAAGTGAGACCCATTGCCTCGCCAACAGGCATGTCGGCTAACTGGTGGCATCTTTGGAAATCAGAGTACATCTGCCTGAGAGGCAAGGAACCAAGAGTCTGCATTAAAAAAATGCACGCAACGCTGAAAATCTGGAGCAAACCAAAAGTCCAGAGATGGACGAACTCGCAGAACTTTACAGCGGAGTTTACAGTCGGTAAGCACGAACAAGATGTTTAGGGTAATCCATCTATCTTCATATACAGTCCATGAAGTGTGGCGTTGGTAGTCATGTGTATCCACAACTTTCTGTCTCGTGAACTTTCCGTCACTTCTGACGCAAGTGATCTTCCTTGCCATTATGCAAAACTTTTCAGCATCTTCACTCTCGGTCTCCCTCTGCCTCTTTTCCCACCCAACATTCCCAGCGTCCCTATGGCCTCCAGTGTTCCCTTTCTCATGACAAGAGATATTAAACCATCTAGAAAATAATTAGTAGATTGAGCCATCCCCAATGTTTTAGTTATTGCGGCGCCCTCGGTAGTAACTATAATAGTTATTCCAAACTGAACATAATAACCTTACCCGCTCAAGACTTCAGGTGACACGAGGGTGGTTCTTGATGTAGTTGTTGAATGATAGAGTTTTTTTCTTTCATGGTGCAAAATTAAACAACTTAACCTGTACAGACCGTGGCGACAGTACTAGACAAGCGGCCCTAAATCTTCAGGCTCAAGTCACCTTGACTACACCGCCCTTAAAAGTGGTAAAACAGACAGTAGTGACAGTAGCTGTCGAGGGCACCCTAATTAAAACTCACTTTGTTGTTGAACAGGGTATCCGGGATTTGCTTGCCTTGTTAAACTGTCATCCACGACTCGCCTGCTGAAGGCGCAGGGACGATCAAAACTTTAGGTGGCAGCAGCCAAATGTGCGGAACAAATAAAAAAAGGAACTTATTCTTTTTAGCCGTCAGTGGCTGAAAGTTCATTCTGACGGAGCGTTTTGTTGCTCTACCTGGGGAGTTAATCTGGTTTCAAAACTTCCATGCGCATCCGTTTTACAGATATGGCGTAATTATATACAACTGTGGATTCCTTCCATCTGGGGCAGATGAGCTCCCACTTCAAAGTAAATACCACTAATTAGTAGCCTTTTCGACATGTCTATTAGATGGTAAGTAACGGTAAAGTACCGTTTTCCTTCTCTTTCAAGCATATTGAGCTTATAGTGCTAGATCTGTATTTCCTAGACTAATCGGTACTTGAAGGATAATGTGGTCAACATGACACTGGTCGCCTTCACTTTTCAGGAGTTTATCTCGTAGCCATTTAAGGCCTGGGAGCAAATGTCCCTTTTGAAAAAAATAAGAACTGAACTGAACACACGACTTTCGGATCCGTAGGCGAACGTCTAGCCACTACACCACCACGGCTCCAAATTATTCATGACAGCGGTTTAGAAAAGCAGTAATGCAAGTAAGATCCTGAAAGACGAAGCACACACTGACTAGGCGACAGTGGACATTTGATATTAAAGAAACAATTATAATGGAGGAATAGGAAACGTGACACCGGAAAGGAAACCTTTGAGACAGGCTGTGGTCAGGTGGCCGCTCTGTACACAGATTGCTACATGATGATAGTGACAAGCCTGTTTATTTACCGTTGTGCGTTCACAGATTACACTAATCGACCCTCCTAGTTAAAAAATTTTATGAATAAACGGCTCCATAGATTTGCTGTGATGAGTCAAGCAACACACACACACACACACACACATGCATTATATATATGCAGTGTATATGGAAAAGCTTTTAACAGCCTGCATACGAAATCACTATGGAACATTTTCTGTAACTATGGCATGCCACTAAAAATAGATAATCATAAAAGAGAAAAACTTCTTGGTCAACACATGAGTTAGGAAGGAATGCATACTATCACCCATTTTGTTCAACCTGGTCATTGACTGGCCGTAAACTGACTGACTTTCTGCCCCACCAGGACATCACACAAGCGATAAACACCCGATGACACCATGTGTCACCATTTGGATGAAGATCACTGTGGAGAGGTCCCAGAAACAGCGTTCAGCTATTAGGCCATATTCATGGCCGGGCTATATTGCGGCCCCTGGTATGAGCCAGAGTAGGGCTTCAAATAACGAAAAATTGCATCCTAAAAAGGACGGCAAGATTTTTATAGTAGTTTTTTGACTGGCCGTGAACGAAGTTAGACAGAGATATCAGATGGCCATTTACCCCGGTTTTAAAGGATTTGAACTATGCATATGACAAGTCTTATTTTAAGCTGTTAAGTAGATGCTCAGGGAAGACTTTCAACAATAGTTCTTAAGATAGGACTCAAGATAAATACTAAAACTAAAGTAATGAGAAATAATCAGAAAACATAACATCGAATTATCTTAAACGATGAAGCAATGGGAGAGGCTTAAGAATGTAAATATCTCGTAAAATAAAAAGGTTACTTCAAATTAGGAATTAGACATAAACTAAAGACTTTTCAAAGTAAAAGGTCTAAGGAGAATCCTGCAATATTTTGTCCAAATATAATCACAAATGAAGAAGTGAAAAGCAAAACAAACAGATCATCACTAGCACACATAATCGAAGGAAGAAGATGTAGATGGCCTGGAGATGTTTGCCAGATTGCCTTGTGAGACTTAAGCAAAGGACGGCTCTCTGATGAACGGCAGAGGGAAATAGGAGACATGTGCGATCTCAGGAAATCTGGAGAAGCACAATAGAAAGAGCAAATGAAGGAGTGTAAACTGACATGGGATACCTTGGGCGGGAAAGTGGCAGACCGGCAGTAATGGAGATTACTTGTGAATGCCTTATGTGTCAACAGACAGGAAGAGGATATAGGTAGATAATAAAAGGGAGGAACATTACGGGAGGGGCGGGGGGGGGAGCATCTGCAGTAAGTAATAACATGCACAAGAAACACACACACACACACACACACACCAGTTTAACAAAATTTTTAACATCATTTTAAATGTCATTTTTGCTAACACTTTGTTTTAGCAGCTACTTTTCTCTCTTTTCCACAATCTGCACCTTCTTCTTCCTTCTCTTTCTTCTCTCCCTCATTCTCGTCTTCTACTGCTGCTGTTCCTGGTGTTTCTCCTCTTCCTACCTTGTTTTGTTTTTGTCCTGCTTTATTCTCAACCAGTTCATGCCAAGTCCACCTTCATTGCATGCAGCCCCATGCCCTCCCATGTTATTGATTTCAGCCTTTTGTTCTCTTGGTCACTCGTTTTTGGCCTCCCCTTTTCCCCTTAACCGAGTGAGTTCAGTTTCAAGGTCATTCTAATTATTTAATTATCAGTCTGCAAAAGTGAAAAATGTACACTTACAAGGAAAGCAGATACTCAAAATGTCATTTTGTTAAGTTTAATTCTTAATAAAAACCTACAAACATATAAGTAATGTTTTGCTTTTGTTTTTAACTCACAGCTGGATCGATCCCGAAACATGGCGCCTTTGTCTTTATGGCGTGGGAATGCGTACAAGTTAAGAACCGTTTGGGGTTGCTATTCGTAATGAAACACACCATGCTGTAACAACAACTAAATTGTACTGGTACACATACTAGAGATATAGGAAAATCCTATACTTACACACTTATAATAATAAATATAAAACGAATAGGTCAGCCCCACAAGCACTGAACAATGAGCACATTATTTTCGCATTAACTGCACATATTTTAAATTAAAACTACTATTGTGAGCATTGTTTATTTACTTGACATGTTTTGCCCTGGAAGCTTCTACCGTATAGTTCTGGGGATTACCTTCTAGCTGGTTATCGCCATGGCTATTTCAGTTGCATATCTCTATCGCCAGGACGTGGTGGCACACAGGAGCTCTGGGAAAGATGTTGATATGGAAGTGCATCAACAGCCGAGTGATGGTTGAGATAAGCGATGATGCGCCGCATCTCTTCCAGCGCATGAGCTTGCATGAGAATGTAGTTCTTGGCCAGTAGGAGGGTGGCTATTTTGCTAAGCTTCCTCACGGATGGACTGTGCGCGTAAGGAATAACAGAGCGGAGTTCGTCCAGGGCGTCGTTTAGATCATGCATTCTCCTTCGTTCCCGTGAATTGATGTTCAGTCGGACGTGTTTTTGTCCAGGAGGTCCTTTTCTGTTCTTGGATTTTCCTTCCACGTCGTCACCGTGATAGTCTTGTTCCAGCATACCTTTGGCATCTGAGTTCTCAAAGCTGCCATCGTCATGGAAGCGAGTCTCGTCGTGGTGGGACATGACAGATTCTTGCCGTGAATCGTGACCTTGGCCGTGTCCAGAATCATCACCTCGTAACACAGAGTCGTCATCACTACTATCCTGGTCGCTGAAATATTAGATAGATTTTTTTTAGCATATAAAGAAATATCTATATATATATATATATATATATATATTATATATATATATATATATATATATTATATATATATAAATATATATATATATATTGAAATTTTCAGCATTATAAATAGTAAAAACAAAAAACACTTTATATTTGTTAACAGTGTTTTAAAGACCAGATTATTGATTTCATTGCACTAGTTTGTATTGCATGTAGGTCGAGCTCTCCCACACAGCGACTGTTCGCCCGCAGGACCTCACACAAAACCCCAGATTGCAGCTGCAGAGATATTATTGGAGGCATTATGCAAACATGTCCAAGCCATGTCCATCTTCTTCTTTCGATAACTTTTGCCAGTGATGAACAGTTTGTTTTTCTTTTCCGTTCTTCGTTTGTGATTATATTTAGACAAAATATTTGCATGACCGCACAACCAGCGATAAACACTCGGTGACACAAAGTCCCACGTTTCGGTTGAAAATCGCTCGAGCGTGTCCCAGAAACCCCGTTCAACTTGTAGTTTATATTTAGGGTCGACTACGACTGCTGGGTGGGGCTTTATTAAAATAGAACAATTGCGCCCCATATTGGCCCGGATTGTAAGTCTACAACACATCGGAAATCAAACTAGTTACAGCATAACTGTTGTCTCTGGGTTTCATTATGCCTGTTAATGCAAAAATTCAGCCTATTTAGTTAAAAAAAAAATTTTGAAATACTCATGTTTATACAAGAAGCTAACCGAAACTAAACGACACTAGAGCTAATTTTTCAACATCAAATGACATATGTCGACCAGTGAATAATTGCACACACTGAGTTCGGAATCGAAAGCTACCCATAAGCAGGAGGAAAGGCTTGGCAGAATTGTGAGTTTCGAAGTTATTTTTGCTTTTGAAGTGCAGTTTCCACATATGGATGGTAGTGTACGGTTTCGCTGCCTGAGCTACTGAGTTTAGTGCTTAGTGCCCTGTAAGCAGTGTTTTGAACATGGCCGCTAGCCGGTTTACAAATGAGTTGGTGAAATACCTTATGTAATAATCCTTCGTGTGTACAGTTACTAACTTATCGTGCCCGACTACCTCCATCAACGACAAACTGAATTTCTGGTGGCGATTGTGGGCTTTTGGCGTCTCTAACAACTTAAATACACATTTACTGCCTGCACATATTTCTAGATTGTTTCGGGGCGTTGTTTGTTCACCATTTTTTAAAATTCGACAGTGAGAGACATTTCATTTGATTTTCACTGGCACGGGAACGCAGCAAGTATGGGGAAACCCGATTGCGGTGATGTTGAAACCTCGACTAAGAGTAAGGCTAAGCAGGTGCTGCACATGAACAAATCTGAAGTGAAAGCAGGAGGCCGCCCTAGGATAAAATGGATTGATGACATTAAAAAAGCTTCTAAATCGACATGGAATGACAATAGCAAGTTCTGCCCACCAAGCAATGAATTGCAAACTGTTCCTCCCACAACGCTTAACGGCAGAAGTGGAAATTGATGATGATGATACAGTGATGCGAGAGTTATTATATGTACAGCTATTGTATTAAACTGCCGTGGTGTAGCAGCTAGACGCTCGCCTACGAATCAGAAGGGCGTGGGTTCAGGTCCTGACGGATTCGAACTTTTTTCAAAAATGACCTTGGTTGTCAGGTCGACCCAGTCTTAAATGGATATCAGGTGCAGTCCTGGGAAGTAAAGGCGGCCAGTGTGATGCTGACCACATCAACTACCAAGTGCCTATTGGTCTATAAAATATAGGTCAAGCCCTATTCGCTCAATACGCCTGAAGGCCTGGACAAGAGCCCTTTATTCTACTATTGTACTACCAACTGCGGTGCGACTGCAGTTAGATAGTCGTGAGCTATGCCAGATGTCAATGAACAACGCTTTCATAACCGCAGAGGCCAGCGGTTTCCAGCCAGTAATCCGCAGCCGCTCTGGGATTGGGGGGGGGGGGGGGGGGGATTGAAGATTAAGAAAGGACGAATCAGGAATATAACTGGTATCGTAACAGGGATACCTGTCAGTTGCATCAGATCTATCAAAGTCGCACCACAAATGGATTGAATGAAGTGTTCAACACCACCAGGACCAAACAAAGAACTATAAACACCCGGTAACACGAAGGACCAACATTCGGATGAGAATCACCCATCGCAGGTCCCAGAAACCCCACTCAACCATAAGGTTATTTTAGGGTCCCAACAGCCGGTGTGGAGTTTTAAAAATACAGAAAAATTGGGTTCCATATTGGAATGACAATATAACATTACAATTTGCAAATGGTTGAATCGGGCTGGCGGTTTCAACCATCGGGTTGGTGATTGTACTGGTATTTGTTCATTATGTTTACTTATAAAGCTATCATGATGGTCTTCTTCTTTGCAGATCACGACCAACCAACACATTGGGGAAAGTGGTGAAATATTTAATCTTTTGGATGAGTTCCTCTTCTGCTCATTAATAGAAATACACTTGGACACCATTAACTTGAAAGACATTGGGTACAGTGGGCTCCACAAAAGAACTTGATTGGAAAACTTCTTCTTCTTCTTCTCTTCCACCTTGTACCTCATTGAAGTGTCTGGGGGAGATATAATGTTCGTTGATGAGCTCTGTCAAGAGCGCTATTAAGACTGATGTTAATTTCTGTAAGGCTGCTCTTAAAGCCATCACTCCATCTTTTCCGAGGCCTTCCACTCGCTCTATACCCTTGTAACGTTTTAGTGCGGCTCGCTGTGGCAGATAGTACCAGGGCATTCTTGTTAGGTGTCCAAACCACTTCATTTGTTGTTCTTTGAAGACCTGTAAGACTGGCTTTATTCCCAGCATTCGTCTGATTTCATGATTTCGTATTCTGTCTTTCCTTGAAACTCCTGCAGCTCTTCTAAGGCATATCATCTCTGTTGTCACAATTTTACGTTCATTGGAGGATGTAAGTGTCAACGTTTGGCATTGATAGCCTAGTGTTGGCCCCAAAAAAAAAACAAGAGTTCTGATAAGATTCAATTTAGTACTCCGAGGTATCTGCTTGTGTGTCATTAGCTTTGGCACATCTGGAGATAATTTCTCTGCCCAGTTTTCCGTCGGATGTGAAAATTGCTTCCAAATACTTAAATTCCTCTGTTTGTCTCAGGGTGTTGTTTTTTTAATTTGATTTCTAAATTGTCTTTATGTCTTCCTATCATTATTGTCTCTGTCTTCGTAGTGTTTATTTTCATTGGAAAACTGACCACACGAAACAAATCTTCTTTTTCTAAGCGTTCACCGCTGGCTGTAAACTCTAGCAGAAAGTTTTGGATGCTCATCGACCCGAGGGGGTTGGCTCTTGATACAGTTTCTGAGTTTCAGTACTGATGGTACCGGTCACAATCTGGTTAAATGCCCATCTTGCCTTGTCTCTGAGTGTAGTCAGCCGGCCAGACCGTCTGGTTACACCCAAGTGCCTCATTCTCTCCAGACCATAATAATCTTTCTTTCCCAACATGCCATGATTGTTTAGAATTCAGTGGGTCTTTCTTTGTTCTTCAACATGTAGCCCCGGAACACACAGGAGGAATATCAGATTATCTGGGAACAGCAGGGCTGCAGGTTACATCAAGTCTGTGAGGCCGTGACGAGCGTCCCAATTATAGCTTCTTAAATATTGAACGAAGTATCTGAGATTTGATCCATTGGCTTGCCACCTAGAATCAGAGTTTGTAATCTCAGATATCAGGAAACAACTGACGGAAGGAAGCTGTGTGAAGGTAGATCTTCGTGTTTTGTGCATGTGTGAGAAGATTGGAAACATCATCCAAACGTAGCTAACGTTTAGTTTGTTTCATTGTGAGAGGATAAGGTTTCGGTTTGATAGATTGCTCTGTTCTGGTCAGGTTAAGGGAAAAAAAAAAAAAAGGTTATATGGGGGTTCATTCGGTGTAATTTGTTTTGTCTTAAGAAAATTTTTTTTTCTTAATTTGTTCAACAAAATATTTCTACTTTTAATTTTCTTGAAACATTTAGCTTGTCCTCAACCCTTTAAAAATTTAAAAATACACCTTTACTACTGTTGATGCATGTTTAAAACTTAACATGTTATTTGCTTTTAGCCACGATTAGCTGATGCATTTCCCCCTGAATGTGGACTGAAAGTATATAGTTAGACAGCTATGTTATCTGTAGCCACTTTCATTTGGGAGACGGCAGGCAAATTGTGTCATGATTTTGATATAAAAATCTTTGTAACTTAACGAGTGAAACTGTTCAAACTGCTCACAAGAATACCTTAGGGTTGAACCAATCAACTAATAGTTCTTTTGCATCTCGGTCATTGATAGCTTTTAGCTTAAGCGTTCGAACTTTCCCGTCAAGTAATAAAAACGCGTCATCGGATAACTATGCGGTTTTTACAGGGGTATGAAGTGGGTTCTATTGGCAAATATAATTATATACAAATTGGTTCACTGCATCTGGAACCAAGTTAATCGAGACTTGTGCACCATAGATATATGGGAACAGTTATAGACCTGTCATAAATAACCCGCTTTGAGACCGAGCAGCCTTTGTTGTAGCTGACATGTAATGGCTTCATTTATGTCAACTGTAAAAGAGCAAGGCACGGCAATCGATGAGTCAACCAGAGCAGCTATCATGGTATTTGGAGGGAACACTGCAAAGGACGAGACAAACCAGTCAGTTACAGTTGTTGCCAGCTATAGGCTTGACTTGTTGACCTGAATGCATTTCTTTTTTTAAAAAATTCAAGTATATATGTATAATTATATATATATATATATATATATATATATATATATATATATATAAATATATATATATATATACACAGAGAGAGAGAGAGAGAGAGAGAGAGAGAGAGAGAGAGAGAGGGGGGGGGGAGATTAA